GCATCCAGGAGGCTAAGGCAGGAAGCTTGAGGCCATCTTGGGCTACATGTGAGTTCTAAGCCAGCTGGGTAACACAGTAAGATTATTTAAAAAGAAAATAGAGGACCAGAGAGATAGCTCAGTGATTAAAAGCACTTGCTGCCTTGCAGAGGATCTGAATTCTGTTCCTGGCCACTGATTATGTGGCTCACAACAAGGTGTAGCTCCAGCTCCAGGGCATCTGCCACCTTCTTTCAGCTTCTGTGGGTGTGCGTGTGTGTGCGCACACACACACACACACACACACACACACAAATAAAAATAAATCTTAAAATAAATAATACAGGGGCTGGAGAGATGGCTCAGCAGTTAAGGGCGCACTGACCGCTCTTGCAGAGGACCTGGGTTCGATTCCCAGCACCCACATGGTGGCTATGAACAGTCCTTAACTCCACTTCCAGGGGAATCTGAAGCCCTCTTCTGACCACCACAGCATTACACAACACGGGTACACTCACATACATGTAGGCAATACACTCATACACATAAAATAAAAAATATTTAAAAAATAATGCAATGTATTCTCATTTGCTACAGTTATGTCACCAAAACTATTTTTGAAGGAAAGATAAAAGACCTATTGGAAATCGGGCGTGGTGGCACATGCCTTTAATTCCAGCACTCGGGAGGCAGAGGCAGGCATATCCTTGTGAGTTCAAGGCCAGCCTGGTCTACATAATGAGTTCCAGGATGGCTGGGGCTACAGGGAGACCCTGTCTCAAAAAGAACAACAACAAAAAAAAACATATTAGAGGGCTGGAGAGGTAAAGTGATCATCATGAAGGAGAGCATGTTGCTATCAGTCGTGGACGGGCTTTACAAGTAGGAAAGGGAGAACACAGAGAGAGAGAAAGAACGATGCTCATGATTTTTTTACTCTGTTACTCCTCCCTGTAGCCCCAGCTGGCCTGAAACTCGATATGTAGACCAGGCTGACCTTGAACTCACGGAGATCTGCTTGCCTCTGCCTCCCGAGTCCTAGGATTAAAGGCGTGGGCCACCATGCCGGGGTAGGCCTTTGTTCTTAAATCTAGTGTTGAGAACATGTTGGAAAGTAGAGGATTCAGCTGTGGCAGCAGCCCCAGACAAGGTGTTGGACTACCACCCTTCCCCCAATCCCCCTGTTTCCCTTGCCTTGAACATGGTCCATTGACTGTAAACCAGTGTGAACAGCTCTAGTGTCACTGGCCTATAGACATTATAAAAGCATTGTTGTGTGATCAAGGCATCTCAAAACACATTTCCATGACATCCCCAGGTTGGTGACTCTAGTGCTCCTGAAGGAATCTGCTGGAGAGGTGTGAGGAGTCAAGTGGGAAACCACATTTCTCTTCATCCCTGATGACTGGGTTGTCACTGGGTGGAAAGTGAGGGGACTTTAAGTTGGCAAATCAAGGAGAGCCATTTGTTCTAGTCTTGCCATGAGTCAGAAGAAATGTTAAGACAAACTAGGAGGCTCCTTGTTATGACAGGCCAAAAGAGGTTGCTTCACTTCCTGGTGTTGACACCCTTGTGTGGGATCTTTGTGATCAATAGAAAGATGGCCAGCACTGTGTTACTTCTGAGGCCAGGCTATAAACAACAGTGTGGCTTTTCCTTGTTCTATCTTCACTTATTTTACAACAGTCACATAAGGAGGATATTCAGACAATTCTGAGTTGCTCTGAGTCTACCTGCTGTGGTCAGGTGATTGTACCATCTTGGAGGCAGGACCCTCCCCTCCCCAAGCCCTAGTCAAGCCTTTAGATGACCGCAGCCCCACCTGACAGCTTGATCATAACCTCGTAAGATTCTGAGAAGAACCAGTTAGCGATGCCTTTCCTGGATTCTTCCTCTGCCAACATGTTGAGATGTAGGAAGATGCTGAGGAAGGATTATGTGTGGCTGGGGTTGGAGTCAGGCTACTCCCTTCCTCTCCTCATATCCTTTTCATCTTCTCTTCCTTACCCTTGGTAGCTCCAGAGGAGAGCAGAGAGCCCACATTAGGAGGCCTGTAGGAGTGTATTAGTTTCTTTTCCTGTTGCTGTGATAAAATACTCAAAAGCAACTCAAAGGAAAAAGGATTTACTTCAGCTCGTAGTTCAAGGGTGCAGTCCATCCTGCAAGGAAGTCAAGACAGCAAGGGATGAAGCAGCTGCTCCCGTTGCATCACCATCAGGACACATGAAAGCTGGTTCTCAGCTGGCTTTCTTTTGCTTACACAGTCCAGGACCCAAGCCCAGGAACTGTGTCACTTACTTCCCCTGTGGGTCTTCTCACCTCAATTAACCTCATCAACATAATCTTTCACAGGCATGCCCAGAAGCGAAATAGTCCCTCCCGGGTACACCTGGAGGCTTGTCTTCTAGATGACTTCAGATCCTGTCAACTTGACAACGCTAACCATCACAGAGGGAAACCTACCTTTCAGGGGCTCAGCCTGCCATCCATCTCAGAATCTTCCCTCGTTATGGTCTTTGTGTGTAGGAAGAGGGTCTATAGCGAGAGCTCAGCACCAATGGATGGAAATGTCCCAGGCTTGCTCATACTAACATTTTGTAGGACCAGGCCTGGTGGTAGATGTCTGTAATCTCAGCACTTGGAAAATCTGAGGCAGGTGAATCTTGAGTTTGAGGCTAGCCTAAGCTACATGAAAGACCTTGTTTCTCTCTCTGTTTGAAATTGAAGGACAATTTTATTAGAATTTAAGAGAAAACAACAAAGCAGGCAAACTGTAAATCTTGGCAACTGCCAAGAGAAGGAGGTAGAAAAGGACGAGAGAAAGCCAGAAAACCACTCTGTTTGTAAGCAGCCACATGGTGAAAGGAGGGAGCTTGGCTTCAGATAAAGACTGAGAAAGCCCAGAACATTCGAGAAAACATGCCCAGGCTTTGGGAAAAAAAGACAGAAAGGTAAAGATAGAAATAAGAAAAAAGAAGTTCTAAAAACACCTGCAAAATACAACATTTCTTTTAAAAATTTATTATTATTATTATTATTATTATTTTTTTTTTTTTTGGTTTTTTTTGAAACAGGGTCTTTCTGTAGCCCCAGCTGTCCTGGAACTCTTATGTAGACTAGGCTGGCCTTGAACTCACAGAGATCCACCTGCCTCTGCCTCCCAAGTGTTGGGATTAAAGGCGTGCACCACGACGCCCCGCTATTTTTTAAAAATTTTGTCTGTATGAGTGTATTGCCTGCATGCATGTAAGTGTACCCGTGTTGGAGGTCGGAAGTAGGCATGGGATTCTCCTGGAACTGGAGTTACAGATGGTTGTTAGTTGCCATGTGGGTGCTGGGAATTGAACCTCAGTCCTCTGCAAGAACAGCCAGTACTCTTAACCAGTGAGCCATCTCTCCAGCCTCTAAAACCACATACATTACTTAATGGCTTTACACCAGTCTATGGATTTAGTTGCAGGAAATAAAAAAGGAAACCAGGACATGGTAAATTTATTTGAATGGTTATTTATTCAAATGGCTTTTAAGAAGCAGAAGCCCTTATAAAATGAAGGCATAGGACAAGCACAAGGATGAGAGGGAACCACACTGAGCAGCTTGTGGCACACTTCATCATGTGACCAGGAAAATGCTCTGAAGAGTAGACAGGGCAGGAGCCACAGGGTGTGCTCAGAGCTAAGATGAGGTATTAGGAAAGGTGTGCCCACTCTTACCGTACAGGAGGGAATCATACAGACAAAGAAGAAATGATCTAGCCCTAAAAGAGGGCACTTAAGAGGTTTATGCTAAAAGCAACCCAGAGGGGTCAGGTGAAGAAACCCAAGGCAGAGGATGGGGGCAAGCGAAGGGTTACTGTCAGGATACCAGCACACACTATTTACATGTGAGGGCTTTATTTTATTTTATTAATTTTTTTTTTTTGAGACAGGTTCTCACTGTGTAGCCTTGGCTGGTCTGGAACTTGGCTGTGTACCAGGCTGGCCTTGAACTCACAGAGATCCACCTGCTTGTGCCTCCTGAGTGCTGGGATTAAAGGTCTGTGCCACTATGCCTGCCCATTATTTAAAATTTTATTTTGAGCAAGGGATACTCAGACAATACTTAAAGTAGAAACTAAAAGTTAAAGTTATAGGTGTATTAATTTAAAAAAGAAGTTGTATCCTATATTCATTCATTCATTCATTCATTCAGTTTTTATGTATCATTCATTCATTCAGTTTTTATGTAGGCCAGGCTGGCTTTGAGTCAGTATTCTCTGATCTCAGCTTTGCTAGTGCTAGAGTAACAGGTGTACACTTACATTGCCACACCTGGCCCCTATGTCTTTTTGTTTCTTTGTTTTTGTCTTTTTTTGAGACAGGGTCTCCCTGTAGCCCCAGCTGGCCTGGAACTCTCTATGTAGAGCAGGCTGGCCTTGAACTCACAGAGATCCACCTGCCTCTGCCTCCCAAGTGCTGGGATTAAAGGTATGTGTCATGCCCAGCTGTACCTATACCTTTAAAACATACAGGAGGAAGCCGGGCGTGGTGGCACACGCCTTTAATCCCAGCACTTGGGAGGCAGA